TTTTAATTATAATATCTATTTTGTTTTATTTTTGTTTTGAATATAATTTGAATATCAAATCCATAATCTATTAAAATAGTATTTAAACTACAGATATATTAAATATTATTATATGTTTCCTAATTAACTTACATTAATATTCAGTACATTAATAAATATATTTCAACCGTTATAATCATCAATGATTATAATATGTATCTAAATATGTTTGAAAAAAACAATGATTGGTGTGTTGGCTAAAATAAAATCAGAAAAATATTTGTTTACAAATATTTTTGATATTTTAAAAACAGTTTTTTAATTCAAAATCAAAAATTTAATTATCTCAAATATTAAAAAAATAAATAATCAAAAATGTAATTTTTAATAACAAATAATATAAATATATTATTATAATAATAAAATATTATATTATTTCTTTTTTTAATTATGTTTTATGTAAAAAATAGTTAGAATATAATTTAAAGTAATATAAAATGAGATGAAAATAATTATATATGGATTTATTTTATAAATTATACAAAAATATATACAAATTATTTTATATACAATTTTTACTATTAATATTATTAAATTAAAAAAAACATAAAACATTAATTGCTTAACAATTAATTAATTGATAATTTTTAAATACCATATGTATTTATTTACTTGAAATAATTACCTGAAAAAAATACATTAAAATATATTTACTGTGCATTTAGTGTGTGACGGGCATATATGAGTGTTTACCCGTCAATAGCCCGTAAAGTAGAACTTTACGAAGCAATATGCAATGCGGGTATGTTTGATAGGGAACTGTGACGTAATTTATGAATGGGTTACTATTAGAAGATTATTTAAGTATAACGGTATATTTGGAAGGCTTATTAATCACGTCACAGTGTATATGTATGGCCCATTCGGGGCTCTGGTCACTGGTAACTGCGCTATATATCGGTATTTAGTATCGGAAACCTTGTATCGGAACTCGGGATGACCTACTTTCACTTACTATTCAAATAAATGATACAACTGTATAAATGAGTCTTGAATCCCCTCCTAGACTAGCTATTGCTAGCCTGAGCTTAACTTTATTGATAAATATAATGAGATAGTCAATGATATACATGTATTGTTAATCACAGTATATAAATCATAATAATAATTAATTTAACATATTTACAATATTAATAATAAATTATAATTCTTTTTAAACATATAAACATAATATTAATAAATAGTAAATGAATACAATATTGAAGATAATGTCAAATATAATTAAATATAATATAATTTTAATAAATTTAAATGTGTTTTAATATCGCACATAACAAAATCGACTTTGTTATGTGCTATTGGTAACGGTAGGAGCGTTGTTAATATTTGTCCCGTTATAAGTGTTTTTTAATTTAATTATTATAAAAAATATTATCCATTTTTTATAGCTGTAATTGTTGAATAATTTTTTCAGTCAAAAAAATGCAATTTTATTATTATTATTATTATCAATTATTATATATATATTGTAGAATTAGTATCAATTAATAATAATTATTGTTTAGTTTGCAATTAAAAAGTAAATCTATTTATGCTTATTTGCTATTAATAATTGCATATTTATGCAATTAATATTTAGTTAATTGATTAATAAACAAATAATAAGTGTTTAATATGCAACTTATATTTTGATAACTGTTTAATAAGCATTATTGGCGCCGTTTGGCCGCCAATAAATGCTATGATAATCATAATTAACAAAATAACTAAATGTATAAATACTTAATAAAAGTTTTTAATATTCAATAAATATTTGAGTAATAAAGTATTAATTATTAATTAAATACTGTGATTTAATTTACTAACGGCCCGGAAGCCCGGAACAGGCCTACTGGCCTGAGTACGGCACCGGGCCGTTCTCCACTACTACCCCTAATGAACTCAACAACACTGCAATATATATATAAGTTATATAATAATTGAATTTTATAATATAATATACTAATAACTAAAACAATTAATATTTTAATTAACAACATTAATACATTAGTAAACATTTATATTTAAAAAAAAATTGAATATAAATAACTTTATTTTTTTAAATTGGATGCTTATTATGTATTGTATTATATAGAAATTATTAAAATATAAAATGTTAAAATTAAAATAATTAGTTTTTAATATATTTTCACAATTATTATCATTAATTTTCATTCATCAATCATTCATCATTGTACAGTAGAAAAAAAACAATAAAATAATTAAAATTAAAAATATAATATTTTCTAAATTAGTAATAATCATTAATAATGAATAGCAAAATATACAATAATATAATGTATATAAAAAAAATTATTTGCTGACTATACGGAAATAAGTGTCGTTTAATTTGATATTATACAAAAAATAGCAAAAAAATACATTATTTTTTTAATTATAAATAATTTATAAAAAAAACAATTTTATTTAATTAATATATATATTCATTACTCATTTGAATGTATAACTGTTTAAATGTATTAGACTTTGTAAACTACAATACAATACTATATATATATACAGTAATATATATATATATATATATATATATATATACAGTAAATATATAGTAAATATATATATATATATATACAGTAAATATATATATACAGTATATATATATATACAGTAAATATATATATATATATATATACAGACAATGACCACAACAACAACAACAAACACCCGAACCATTGATTACCCGAAAGACTCGATCGACCGGTTCGGCGACGATTTGTTGGGCCTATTGTTAGCACAGTTGCCGACATTGGCGGACCGTTTCCGCTATGAATGTGTTTGTCGTCAATGGCAACGATTGGTTTACAACAGTCAACGGGAACTGATTATCGACCGGAAACTCATAGACAAACTAAAGTATAATAAATTAATAAAATCGACAAAAATAATAACCGAACCGTTGGTGGTGTCCAATACTAACAACACTAATAACAAAACCAAATACATTAATAAACAGGAAATATATATCAAATACATTAAACGTATCAACAATTGGCTAATGGATAATGTGGTCGAAAATCTGTTACATTTGTTGGCCGCCAACGATAACAACAACAACAACAAAAAGTTGGCCAACATTTCATCGGTTATAGTCATCAATGATTATAATATGGATCCAAATTTGTTTGATAAGCTGATGGATGTGTTGGCTAAGATAAAAGCTGAGAAAAAAGTRTTTGACATAAGTGTCCGTCAAAATAGACAACCGATATTCAAAGTTGTCTATCCAACCGATTCGGTAGACGTATGTGATTGTGTCCAGTGATTGAACCGATTTGATTGAACGTAAATTTCCGATTGAAGTAGTAATAGTAATACTAGTAGTAGTAGTTATAATACAAGTAGTAGTAGTAGTAGTAGTAGTAGTAGTARTAGTAGTAGTAGTAATACTTGTAGTAGTAGTAGTGATACTTGTAGTAGTAGTAGTAATAATAATAATAATACAAGTAGTAGTAGTAGTAGTAGTAGTAGTAGTAGTAATACTTGTAGTAGTAGTAGTAGTAGTAATAATAATAATAATAATAATACTATTAATATTAAATACTACTAATAATAACTACTAGTAGTATTATTATTACTTCTACTACTACTACTAGTAGTAGTAGTAGTAGTAGTGTTGAGAAAAAAATGAGAAATTTCTATGAAAATTAACAATAAATTATACTTTTAATTGAATAAATGAAATAATAATTGTAATAATTTTTTTTATTATATTTAACTAATAATTTTTCTTAATAATAAATATATTAATCTTTGATTATAACTATAGTAATTATTTTTTTTAAAAAAAATATTACCTTTTAGTGTTTAACATAATAACATATTAATATAAACATAAAATATTATTTTATTAAATTAATAAAAGTTACAAATTACTAAACTTATAAAATAAATTATTAATAAAACAAAAAATTAGAAATATTAATAGTTTAGTTTACTTAACATTAAAATATATATGTTATTATTGTTAATTTTAAATATTTTATTTATAAACATATTTTATATTTTTTTAATAATTATGTGTTTTATAAAAATAATTATATACTAAACAACTATAACAAGCATATGAAATAAAGTTTGTAAATTAATCTAAAAAATATATTTTTTAAGATAAATTAAATATTTTAAAAATAATAAATAATAGTTTTATTGATTATTTTGTATTTTATTATTTGAAATTATAAGTATTTATAAAAGATAAATATTTAATTAAAACGACAATTTATTATTATATACTTTTAAAATCAATGAAATTTTTAAATAAACAATATTTATATACATTTATTGATTTAGTTATAATTAGTAATTATTTTTATCAATATAATATTATTGAAAAATATAAAATGCTTAAATAGTAAAATATTATCAAAAAATTTCTATTAAAACTGATTAAAATTATTTTTTTATATATAAGTATTTATGTAATTTAGATTAATTTTATTTAAGTTAACAATATTATTTTAGTTTTTAATAGTAATTATATTATATTATATTATTAGTTATTTATACAAAAATCAATAATGTTTAAAAATAAAATAAATAATATAAAGTTAATAATAATAATAGAATGTTTATTAATAATTGACAAAATTATAATAAAGATAAATTATAAATTAATTTTTATTAAAAAAACAATAATAAATATAATTTATAACTAAAGATAAATATTATTCAATAAAAAATTATCAGTTATATGAAATAATAATAATAATAATTTCATATTATTAATTAAGATCATATAAGCATCTGTTATATAATCAAATTATTACATGAACTTTAAATTTATAATTTTCATTTTACTATAAAACAGACTAACTTTATTGAATTTTATTAGTATTTTTAAAATTATCAATATACATTATTAACTATTTTTTTAAATATAATTATAAAAATAATGTCTAATAAGTATTTTATTTTATTTTTAATTGCAATTATTTTGTCATTTAATAGTATTTACTCACTAAATACAACTGAAACTAATAATAATGATTATAATGTAAATTATAAATAATTATTTTGTAAAAAAAATTATAAATTATTTTTTAAAAAATTTGTTTTAATTAGCAATCATTTGACTTATCGGATAGTTTTATCTATATATGCGGCGGACATAATGGGTCGGCCTATTTGTCTACATGTTTCAAATACAATATACATACAGGTGTTTGGGAAGCCATACAATCCCTGACCACTTCAATGGCTGACCTGAGTTTGATTTCATACGATTCAAAACTATATGCAATCGGCGGCCAAAATAATATTGTAATTATTGCTGAAAAATATACTAAATATAAAATATAAAATTAAAAATATATAAATTAAAATTTATTTTAATATAAATTGCTATTTTTTTAAAAAAATAATAAGATTGGAAATTTAAATACTGTTGAAACATATGATTTACAAACAAATCAATGGAAAACAATAGCACCGATGAATATAATACGACAGTATTTATTAATAAATTTTTATATAAATAAATCTTTATTGTCCAATTTTATTTAAAAAATATTTATTTTAATATTAAAAAAAATAGTTACCATGATGCAACTATAATACAAAATACAATTTATGTATGCGGTGGTGAAAATGGTAATTATAAATACTTTTAAAAAAATTATTACTTTTTAATTACAGTAAAATTTTAATTTTTATATTTTTTAATTTCTGATTTTTATATATATATATATATAAATTTAGGAAATTATTTCAAATCATGTGAATATTATTCACCAAATACTGATAAATGGCATTTTGCTAAACCAATGTCACAGGAAAGGTGTGGTCTGGCACTGGTAGCCTATGAAGGGTTTATCTATGCTATCGGCGGTCAAAATGGTAACGACAGTTACAATTCAATGGAAAGATATTACAATATAATACGCGCGCGTGAATCGACTCGGGTGAGCGGCTCTTGAGTCCGTCCGGGCTGTCCAACCAATCATTAACGTAGAGCAACTCGCGGGACGACCGCCGATGACCAGTTGGTTTTCGGACACCTTTTGGTCCGAAATTGAGCCCTTCAGGGCTCGGGCGCTACCCTACCGCTAGCACGCGTACGGTTGTAGTTGTTGATTAAGTTGACACAATTTAAAGTGAATTAACTATTTATAAGTTTTATTCAAGTGGTTATCTAAAACTAGTCTAATAATACATTAGTGAATATATGTGTAGAGTCTGAGACTCAACTAAAAACTAACACAAAATACTGAGAGAGTCCCAGTACTCTCAGAGTCAGACTCTTATATCTCTGATCTGTGAGTGTCAGTCCCTGAGTTGGGAACAGTAGGCTTTTATATAGGCTGGTAGGGTATACAGTATATACTATATGTGGGCTGTACTTAATAGCCAATAACATGCAACAATATAAGTAAAATATTCATTATACTGTACCCCACCACACCTTAATAAAAGCCCCCCGTTTAACAAAAGATAAAATTATATAAGATTAAATATTAACAATAAATTTCCGCTTTTAATTAATAGGGGAAACCCGAGATCCGGGAGAAAACCTATTGACAACAATAGCTGAAGCGGTCTCAGATTGCAATAATGTATAATTGGTATAAAAACTTCTATTGTCCCAAATTTGGGACACTAACTTAGTTAAATTAAAACCTATTCTAATTTTCGGACAAATTATATATTAATGCAAACACTTGTTTATACAATACAAGTGCTATTGTTGTCCCATAAAAATATATAGTTACATAAAATTTAAAATTAATTATAATATAAAATTATTGTTTAAATAATTATTCGTATTAAAATATTAAAAGGTTTTAAAATAATTAAAATATGTAATATATTATATATAATTTAATTAAATTGTATTTAAGTATACTAAGTATATTTCAGTTTATCGTTAATGTACATAACATTGACATTAAATCCAATAAAATGTTGATCATTGGTTTATCTCTTGAGACGCGTAGTATTGACAGTATAGTTGAATTAACAGATCCAATTGTTGATACCGATGATAACTATTTAAAGTGTCGTCGATTAGGTCAATGTTATCAATACCGGCAGTAGTTACTGTGCTTCTTAAAGTGATATTGTGTTGTTGCAATTGATACTATGATACCACCAATATTGTATTGTAGTACCAAAATATGTCAATGATAATACATTTTGTTGTTGTTATGATTGAGTTAGATGTTTTAAATAAACTTTTTTACAATTAAAATTATTATTACATTTTTGTGATTAAATAATTTTTATAATAATAAAGGATTATAATATTTTATAAAACAATTGTTCAGTAAAAAACAATATTTAATATAAATGTTAAAGTAAAAATATTTTAGAATATATTAAAAAGTATATAATTATTAATATTATAGAATAGATTTGTCTCAATTTAATTTTAGATAACATTATATAATAATATTTAAGACAATTTTCTATACTTTAAATAAATATTTATTATATATAGTTATAAAATAATTATGAATATTTGAGACATTAGTCTTAAATACTGATAGTTATGTCTCGATTTACTGTCTAAAATTTCAGACAAAAGTATATATAAATATTTAAGATAAAAAACATTTTTTAATTAAACTAAATTAGATAAAATTAATTATTATTTTATAACCTTATTTTTAAATTATTCAAATAATTTTCAAACATTAGTTCAAAAATATTAAATTATAATATTTTTTCCTTCGGATTGAAGAAAATGTCCAAAAAATAGTAAAAAATAATTATTTATATTAAATTACATTACATTTATAATTATTGCATCTTTTTCTTATGTATTTGTATGTAGTGTGTACATAATTTAAATATACTTAATAAAGATAAAATAATGGTTATATTAGATATTTAATTTAATTTTTGTTTTTTATATTATTTATTCTTATTTTTTTCAATTTTTTTTACTATTTTTGTTTACACTTAATTTATACACTTTTTGTTTTACTGTAATTAATTTCTTTAATTCAATAAATTTAATTTATTTATTTATACCATTTTTTTATTAATTTTATTTTAAATGTATCCTAATAATTATCAATTCAAAACGAAAAAAAGGATCACTAAATTCAGTGTAAATCATTTTGGCCATTAATGAGGACATAAATTTAATAATCATACTTAATTATTTTGAATCAACTAATTATTTAACCCATTATAAACATTTATTTATTTTATATTTAATTATTCAAAACAAGTCTCAATTTTATTCAAATTTTCTCATTCCTTAAATTAATTTCTTAATTTAAGTCTATTATATTTAACATTTATTTCAAACCTCAAATTATATTTTGAGTCTAATTTAATCTTCAATTATTTCATTCCTTAAATTATTTTCTAATTTAAGTCTAATTTTAAACATTTTATGCGCAACTGTTTATATTTCATATATTATATGTAAGTAATAGGTACCTTATTAATTTACATACTAATCACTAATTGAGACCGACCATTTTTTCAGGCCATTAAAATTTATTTTAAACAAAAACTTAAATATTTACTTCTAGGGCTTAATTTCATACAATAGGTACTTTAATGTAAATCTACAATTATTTAAAATATTTTTATAAATTTATTTCATACTTAATTAATCAATTATCAAATCAAAATTTTAACAAATATCGAACTTTACTTTTTTAAATCTTACAATTTAAAGTTTATATAATTTTACTTAAATACATAATTAATAGGTCATAAAATGTACTTGTTATTAACATTTTATTTATTTTAGTTTCCTGTATATTCAGACAATAATTATTTCATTCTCACTATTTTCAGACACTATATTCAGACACACTATTTTCATACATACTATTTTCAGACACTATTTTCATACAGACTATTTTCAGAGACACTATTATTAGACACATTATTTTCAGACACACTATTTTCATTAACTATAAATTAAGCAGAGATTATTGCTGAAAAAGAAGTTAAGCCGTCAATAAAATTATTATTTTTGTCAATAAATAAAAAGGGAACATAGACAACGGCATATGTAGAGACTAACTCTTACTAATTTACCTGATCTGCTGATGCAGATCCAGGTGACTGAAGAATAGCTCTTGTAGCTGATTTTATCGTAGTGCTTCGTTTGTGATAGCACGAACGGGCAAGATGACCAGGTTTGTGACAAAAATCACAAACAGGTCTACCTTCAACAGTTTGTCTATATTGATATCTGTAACTATCATAATTACGGTATTTATTCATAAACTGTTCAAACATTGAACATAATTTAGAAATATCATTTTGGGACTCAGTGCTATTAATTTGGGACTCATTTTGTTTTTGAAACTTATTTAGAGACTGTTCATTATGCTCAACACTATTTATAAATAGGTAATTATGAGATTGTCTTATCTGAGATAAGAATTCGGACTCTTCTATTGACTTAAGTTTACTTAATAAATCAATACAATCTTTGGGCTCAAATATAACTACTTTTTCTAACATTCCAGATCTCAGCCCTCGCATAATATGTGTCAGTTTTTCTTGTTCATCCATAAGGGGATTAAGTTTCTCACATAATCTAATTATATCATAATAATAGTTACTGACTGACTCATTGAGCTGTTGGTATCTGGTAATTAATTTTAATTGCTGAAATGATCTGTAATTTTTTGGACTAAAAGCGCTTTTAAGACCCTCATAAATGTCATCTAATGACAATTTATTTTCATATGTGGCATCTGTTTTAAGTTTAACAAAATTCCTATCCCCCCCCCCCCCCCCCCCCCCCCCCCCCCCCCCCCCCCCCCCCCCCCCCCCCCCCCCCCCCCCCCCCCCCCCCCCCCCCCCCCCCCCCCCCCCCCCCCCCCCCCCCCCCCCCCCCCCCCCCCCCCCCCCCCCCCCCCCCCCCCCCCCCCCCCCCCCCCCCCCCCCCCCCCCCCCCCCCCCCCCCCCCCCCCCCCCCCCCCCCCCCCCCCCCCCCCCCCCCCCCCCCCCCCCCCCCCCCCCCCCCCCCCCCCCCCCCCCCCCCCCCCCCCCCCCCCCCCCCCCCCCCCCCCCCCCCCCCCCCCCCCCCCCCCCCCCCCCCCCCCCCCCCCCCCCCCCCCCCCCCCCCCCCCCCCCCCCCCCCCCCCCCCCCCCCCCCCCCCCCCCCCCCCCCCCCCCCCCCCCCCCCCCCCCCCCCCCCCCCCCCCCCCCCCCCCCCCCCCCCCCCCCCCCCCCCCCCCCCCCCCCCCCCCCCCCCCCCCCCCCCCCCCCCCCCCCCCCCCCCCCCCCCCCCCCCCCCCCCCCCCCCCCCCCCCCCCCCCCCCCCCCCCCCCCCCCCCCCCCCCCCCCCCCCCCCCCCCCCCCCCCCCCCCCCCCCCCCCCCCCCCCCCCCCCCCCCCCCCCCCCCCCCCCCCCCCCCCCCCCCCCCCCCCCCCCCCCCCCCCCCCCCCCCCCCCCCCCCCCCCCCCCCCCCCCCCCCCCCCCCCCCCCCCCCCCCCCCCCCCCCCCCCCCCCCCCCCCCCCCCCCCCCCCCCCCCCCCCCCCCCCCCCCCCCCCCCCCCCCCCCCCCCCCCCCCCCCCCCCCCCCCCCCCCCCCCCCCCCCCCCCCCCCCCCCCCCCCCCCCCCCCCCCCCCCCCCCCCCCCCCCCCCCCCCCCCCCCCCCCCCCCCCCCCCCCCCCCCCCCCCCCCCCCCCCCCCCCCCCCCCCCCCCCCCCCCCCCCCCCCCCCCCCCCCCCCCCCCCCCCCCCCCCCCCCCCCCACACACACACACACACACACACTCTCAGCCATGCCTTTTAAGTGTACTGGGAGTCTCAACTTTTTCATATTATTGCTCCATTTATTACATTTAGCAATGTAAGTGTAATGATCAATCCAATCATCTATATCACCACTCCCATCAAAATTTTGAGGAGTTACTGAGCCGACTGTGATTATAGACTTAAATTCATGTTTGCCGTTACTTTCAAACATCTGGTTATTGTTAGTAAGGGTATTAGCTGCGTTAGTTACACAATCACATGTAATATTTGAAATAATTTTTGGGTTATTTTGAGTGTTACTTCCATGCAATGAGTTATTTGGGACATTATTAGTGCAATTATTTAGAGCATTAGTTTTGGAATTTGCTTGCAAAATGGGATTAGCAGTTATATTAGTTAAAGTGCAAATGTCATTTGAAATATTTTGGGTATTATTTATTACTTGTTCTAATGATATTACATTAGTATTTGTAAGCATTGGGTCATTAACAAGTGTTAAATTTGTTACATTAGTATAATCTAAGTTATTTTCAGTTTGAGTGTCATTTACAACACTTAGGTCTGTAATAGTTAAGTTACGGGCTTTTGAAGTATTTCGGGATCTGTTTTTACGCTTTTGCATTTTTATTGCTTTTGAAAGAGTTTTGTTGAAATGGGTTTGAAGTACAGTAATATATAGATTTAATTGCTTTTTGTGAATTAAGAAATATTTTATTGCTTTTTTACATGCTTATTTAACTCAACTGTACCATATGTGGGATTAACTATTAGGGACTAAAATTTGTAATACTTATTCAATTGTGATACTATTATAGAAATATTTTTTTTTTAAAAATCTAAATATAGTATTAAATAGAATATAGCATAAAAAAGGTTTAATATAGTTTTGTAATATTCAACTTATAGAGATTAAATTATTATTTGTTTCTAATTTTTAGGCCCAAATTATTCTTTAAAAAAATTGATTTCATTACTTGTAAGGATACTGTTATTTTTTACTTTTAAGACAATAGCATTCATTAATTAAATTAAGTATAGTTAGAGCAAAAATTAATATAAAGGAAATATAACACAAAACATCAATTTAATTAAACAAAATTATCAAAATATTCATTAAAATTTTGGGACATACCTTATTTAGACTTATGAGTTAAGTACTTTTGAAATCGTTACCTTTGCGACCTCCACCATATACAATATAATACGCGCGCGTGAATCGACTCGGGTGAGCGGCTCTTGAGTCCGTCCGGGCTGTCCAACCAATCATTAACGTAGAGCAACTCGCGGGACGACCGCCGATGACCAGTTGGTTTTCGGACACCTTTTGGTCCGAAATTGAGCCCTTCAGGGCTCGGGCGCTACCCTACCGCTAGCACGCGTACGGTTGTAGTTGTTGATTAAGTTGACACAATTTAAAGTGAATTAACTATTTATAAGTTTTATTCAAGTGGTTATCTAAAACTAGTCTAATAATACATTAGTGAATATATGTGTAGAGTCTGAGACTCAACTAAAAACTAACACAAAATACTGAGAGAGTCCCAGTACTCTCAGAGTCAGACTCTTATATCTCTGATCTGTGAGTGTCAGTCCCTGAGTTGGGAACAGTAGGCTTTTATATAGGCTGGTAGGGTATACAGTATATACTATATGTGGGCTGTACTTAATAGCCAATAACATGCAACAATATAAGTAAAATATTCATTATACTGTAATATAATACAAAAACACAACAATGGCAACCAATGGGTAATCTAAGATATTCAAGGTTAGTTAGTTTTATTATATACTAGTATATATATATATATATATATATAATAGCTTGAAAATATTTATAATAAAAATTTTTTAGTTAAATTTTATTTTTAAAAAATTAAAATATAATAGTCCTATAATTATAATGTATAATAATAAACATAAAAATTATATATATATTTAAAAATATTTATATAAACAATTTTTTTTAAATTCTAATTATTATTAATTTATTAAAAAATTATTAATTTGTTTGATCAAGATCATTTTTTGGTTCGGCCATATTTATGGGTAAAATATATGTTTGCGGCGGTTTGGGTAATAGTGATAGAAAATCATGCGAAACATACGATTCAAAAACAAATCAATGGACACAAATTGGTTTTTGTTATTTAAATTTGATATTTATTTATCAATTATTCAAATATTTATTAATTATTTAATTTATTTATCGTAAAAAAATTAATTTATAGCATCCATGCGATTGGATAGAGTTTATTTTAAATTGATTGCATTTGATGACAAATTATATGCATTGGGTGGCATAACAAATAGTATTTTAAATTTTATAATTTTAATTTTAAAAACAATTTTTAACATATATTATTTAATATATAATATTTTAATAATTTATAGATAAACATAAAACATATAATAATAATTTACATAATATTTATATTTTAAATTATAATCAATGCTAAATTAATATTGGAAAATTTCGATTATTATTTGGAAAAGTTTTTTTGATATAAAATTATTTTTTTTAAATTATTTATTTGTTTGACAATAACTATTGATAAATCAATGATATTTTTTTTAAAAAATATATTTATTTACAGATACTTCAACAAAAACGGTTGAAATATATGATTATGAATCAAATCAATGGTATTATACGACATCATTGCCGATAAATGTTTATGTATTTGGGGTAATAATTTTAAAATTTATTATTATAATATTATTATTATTTTAATTTTATTAATTATTTTAATTTTATTAATTATTTTAATTTTATTAATTATTTTAATTTTATTAATTATTTTAATTTTATTAATTATTTTAATTTTATTAATTATTTTAATTTTATTAATTATTTTAATTTTATTAATTATTTTAATTTTATTAATTATTTTAATTTTATTAATTATTTTAATTTTATTTATTTATTTTTTAGGCAACTGTTATAACTAAATCATAAAACTAATATTTTTAATGTACGAACAGTTATATATCTATAATAGTTATAATTGTTTTTTTTAAAAAAAGTTAATAAATTCAACATAAACTAAACCTTTAAATTGAAAAAATAATATATTTATTTCAAAATATTGAATTAATTCAATTTATAATACTGTATAATATACAAATATAATATTTAACAATAAATACAATATATATGATATATATTTACATTAAATAATTTGTACTGTATATTACTACGGCTTATAAAAATACTAAATATATAACTTTTATTTAGTAAAAAAAATTTGTTTAAAAACATATAATCTTAAAAAAATAATTAATTAATTTTTTGTTACTTACTTTAATTTATATAATAATATTATTTTTTTTATTATTAATAAATATATATAATATTCTTTAATTAATAAATTCTAAACTAAATAAAATAAAATTAAAATTTATTATTAATTAACAAAAAATAAATTCTCTCTCTCTCTCTCTCTCTCTCTCTCTCTCTCTCTCTCTCTCTCTCTCTCTCTCTCTCTCTCTCTCTCTGTTTGACTGTGGATTGTCATCCAATAGTAAGAAATACTAACAAAACAATTCAACGATTTTTTTTAAAATACTAGTTTTTTTATTACACTATAATATTACTGATTGTTGTTATAAATTTTATAATAACTAAATAAATAGTTTTATAAACTCTACTAAAAAAATTCAATGTAAATGTATATTTAATAACAAATTGTAATAATTTTTTTGGTATATGAATAAATACAGTTTGAAAAAATTTATTGTATATTTAATAAAATAATTAATTGATTAAATATCAATTAATTATTATATTAATGTTATTATAGAGTATTATTACTATTAATACTTTAGTATAATAATAATAAATGTCATTAAAAACAATGTATTTTTTGAATCAAAATTGTAATTATAGTCATAAAAAATTGTTTATTGAAATAATTAATTTATTTAGCATTTGAATAGTTTTAATCAACAACAAAAATTTAAGGCATTTATTATAGTATTTATCATATTATATGTTATACATTATAAAACTTTCCTATAATTTAATCAAAAAAAAATAATTTTAAATATTTTAATTAATTTTCCTAATAATCGGTTAGTTATATATATATTTTTAATAATACTATTTATAATTTACATATTAATAGGATTTTTATATCAAACTCTAGTATATAAATACAGTAAATGAATAACTAATATAAAGTACATAAAAATTTTGTATAAAAAAATACATTTGAATTGAATTTATTTTTTTCGTGGAGTTTAATAAAAACTTTTTTTTTAATTAAGTTATTATTAATAAAATTTATTACAACAGTCAGTATAATACACTTTAGTAGTGTATACTTGAAAACTAGTATTTAATCAAATAATTAAAAAAAAAATCATTGAATTATTTTTTTATTGTCTTATTTTGTTTGTTTGTTGGTTAGTATTGCTTACCATTTGAAGTGAGTGACAAACAATGACCACAACAACGATGACAACTATGAAAACATTACCACCGATGAGGAAGAAGATGAAGGACTCGTTTGATCGGTTCGGCGACGACTTGTCGGACATATTGTTAGCACAGTTGCCGACACTTGAGGACCGTTTCCGTTGTGAATGTGTTTGCCGTCAATGGCAACGATTGGTCTACAATAGTCATCGGCAGATGATTATCGACCAGAAATTCACCGATAAATTGGCCAAAAATAAAACAATGACAACACAAAGATTAGCGCAAGTGATGGCCAAATGTTCAAACATTTTGGCCATTAATATCATTAGCAATGGTTTCGATCACTGGAAAACTGTTGATCCCGTTATGGATGTGTTGGTCAACCACAACAACATCATCGACGGTAATATCCAATCATTTGAAGTTCATATACGTAAACGTTGGACACATTCAGAGCTGATGACATTCATCGGCCAATTAACCCAATTTCATCGACTCAGACATCTGGCCATCGATTGTCCGGCTATTGTACTGTTCAACAACAGAAGCCGAATATTGCCGATAGTGGCCAACAAGTGTCCCGTAATACGGTCGCTATGGATACGTATTATGTGTTTTGTTGAACAAGATTTCATGGATATTATAGACAGTGTCCGACTGTTCAGTCAGTTAGATAGCCTACACCTGAATGTCTATACAATGCTAACGGATGTGTTTTCATTGAAATCGTTGGCCACTAACTGTCCCCGACTTAAGTATCTGACAATTGAATACTTGACTGATATTGACTTCACTGATGTCGACCTAATTAATAAACAATTAAAACGACCGGCAATTATCACCAAAATTGGTCCAAACTATGAATAGTTTTGTTAACTAATAAACAATTTAATAACGGTTTTGAGACAATTGTCCACAAATTTGGATATGGATTTTAGTTTTTATTTTTTTTTTGTATCACTTTAATTATAAAAATTTTTCTGATTATTATTAAGTTAAAAATTTTAGTTTAAAATGTTATTATAGTGTATAATTGAACCGGTTTTTAATTATTATTATTATAAGTATTAAAAGTATTAATAATTTTGACAATTAATTAGTAAATTACTAACTGGGTAATTAAAAATTGTAATTTAAAAAACAATTAATGTAATACAAATAGATTTTATATTTTTAATTATATATATATTTTCATAAGATTAAATAAATTGTTGTTTTATATGATTAATAATTTTTTTTTGTTAATAATATACTTTATTAATTAAATAATTAAAGTATCGATAATAACTTTATTAATCTAATAGTTATCCTGGATACTTTAAACATTCCCAATAGCAATAGTTTAATATTATTTAAATCGATTATCTATTAATAAAATAACTTTAAAAACAAAATTAACATTAAATATTTATATATAAAAACTATAACTAAAATTAGTTATCGATTAATCACTTTTATTATTTAACATTTGTAATAAAAATATTTATTAATTAAAGCTGTTAACTATTATTATTATTATTATTATTTGTGCAATTAAATAAAGTACTTACTGTATTATATTAGTAAATAAATGTTTTACTATCATAAATGTGTTATTAAAACAAAATTTTTACTAAAAATTTTTTACATTATTTTATTATCTTTTTTTATATATATAAATATATAATAATTTTGTATATATTTTCTTTTTATATTTAGGAAACTGTTTTTATAAATAGTGAAAAAATAGTGAAAACTAAATAGTTATAACTAATAATAATAATTGTTATATTTAAGTTGTATCTTATATTATTTAAAAACATTTTTTTAAATAAAAACTGTTTTTCATTTATTCAATTATAAAATATTAAAAAATAAAAAAATAGATAATTAATATTTCTACAATTTTTTAAATAGAAAAATGTTTTTATAAATAGAAAAAAATTAGTGAAAACTCAATAGTTATAACTAATAATAATTTGTTATATTAAATGGTATCTAATATTATTTAAAAAACAATTTAAAAAAACGTATTTTATATATTCTATAAATAATTATTAAAAATTTAAAAAAAATAAAAAAAATATCTATTAATTAACTAGACTTTCAATACGTTCACAGGCTTTATGAATACTATCCGATTGAAGCATACGTTTCGATGCAATCGCTAATCTATCCAATAATTTCTTATCATTTAATAGTTTATCAATTGATTGGACTAATTGTTGGTCAGTAAACAAATACAGATCCAATCGTAGGCCATACCCGGTCTCCTGTAGTCTCTGTGCATTATCGAACTGATCGGCTGCTAATGGCATACAAATCATTGGTTTACCAAAACTAAACGTTTCGGTAACCGAATTGTTTCCGCCGTGTGTTATAACCAAATCGACTAACGGCAGGACATTTGTTTGCGGGACACTGGCCTCACCCCACATATTATCGGCCAATTCATACTCATTGGCCATAAGTCCTTTCGAAACGATATATTTATGCCGGGTTTTGGCCAGTATATCGACAAATCGTTTCATTAGTTGGACATCGACTGAACCCATTGAACCCATCGATAGATATATTAATTTTGATTTTGATTTATCCCGGTTTTCCAATTTGTCGGGTATTTTAAACTCTTTGGGATCAGTCCTGAGAAAGGCATCGATACGGCAAAAATTCTCGGGTATTGGTCTAATGTCTGTATAGTCCAGTTCCTCTGGATAGCCATAAATGTTCAGATACGGTGATCGGGGTATAATTTGATCCGAATTATTCACTGGTAGTCCTAATTCCCGGAGCCATTGATTGTATTTTTCCAATCCTTGTCCACCAAACAGTTGTTTACCCAATTGTCTCATTTCAGTCCAACTGTTTTTATCGCTATCGGCTGGAAATCCTATCAATATATTTATATATACATATATAACAGTATATTAAATGTAAAAAATAATTAAAACATATATTTTATTATTATTATTTATATTATTATTTATATTATTATTATTTATATTATTATTTATATTATTATTATTATTATTATTATTATTTTTATTATTATTTTTATTATTATTATTATTATTATTATTATTATTATTTTTTTTTTATTATTATAATTATTATTATAATTATTATTAATTTTATCATTTTTTTATTATTTTTATTATTATTTTTATTATTATTTTTATTATTATTTCTATTATTATTCTATTATTATTTCTATTATTATTTCTATTATTATTTCTATTATTATTATTAACAACTAAATAATAATTACCGGAAGCAAATGGTGGTGTCCTATCGTCGTCGATAGCAAACAGCGGATTACCGCTGAAAACACTGACCCACGGCTTACCCGAATGTACGAGTGCTGGTCGTCCCAGAAATTCATCCAAAATAATCAAATCAGGATCCACTTCCCGGACAACTTTGGCATACATTTTGTCCGATTTTCGGGCTTTTTCTAGTATAGTATCCAAAACTGGTATATTTAACATCATTTTCATTTTGTCCACTGACGACAATCCCGTCATTAGTCCCGATTTCAGTATCATTTGTGCCCCTTCTTCGCCCGGTTTTTTGTTTTCGCCGGTTTGTTGCGGGAATTGTTGTCCAGATTGTTGTCCGGATTGTTGTTGTGTCTGTTTATCGCCAATATCATCGATAATCACTTCATCGAAACCATACTGAGCTAACTGTCCCCTGAATGCCCGGTCGACGATAAATGTTAGCCGATGGCCACGTTTTTGTAGTACTTGAGCCAAACCGATACAAGCGTTTACATGACCCACGCCCTCCATAACCGACACTAAGATATTTAACTTTTTATTAGACATTATTTGTTTGTTTGTTGTTTTGTTGGTTAATAATTTAAAAACTTTTTTTTAATTTTAATATGAAATTAATGTGTTTTTCAATTCAAATGCACTTAAAACATATATTTAATAATAATTATTATATTTTTATCAACTTTTACACGACTTTTATAACAAAAAAAAATATTTATTAATCAAAATTTACGTCAAAAATAACTTTTATCATAAGTTATTTATATATTGAATATAAATAAATATTTTTTCACAAATATATATATAGTATTTACAATACGATTATAAATACTGTATTAAATAAAAAGTAATAGTTTTTATAAACAAATTTATATTTAAAAAAAAAGTTTTTTACTAAAAAAATAATGTCCTAATTATTATCACTTTTTTTTGTTTGAGATTAAATAAAAATTTTAAAAAAGAGACATTGGGGACAAAATTGTGATTAATTTTATCATTATTATTATCATTTTACACATATAGTTATATATACTGTATAATATCATTAGTGCATTAGGGACAAATTTTAGTTATCATATATATATATATATATATATACTGTATATATATTTTTATATACACAATAATAACTATATAAAGTAACAAAAATTTCAAGGACTAAAACTATGCAATTAGAAATCAAATATTTATTTATTATTATTTTTTTTGTATAGTTTAGTATATAATAAATTAGTAATAGCAAAATAATACAATATTATTAGATAATTTAATTTGCATGGTGCATTGTAACTAATTGTATCTTAATGTACTTAATTAAATATATTATTATTATTATTTTTAAAAAAATAGACACTTTATATAGCAAAACATTATTAAACATTTAAAATTTTTTAATTATTTTTCATATGATTTAAATTGATATACATTTTAATCATACATAAAATATTTTTTTTTAATTATCTTTATATTAATAATATTAATAATGATTTTTTTCTTTAAAAAAATAATGTATAATAAATAAATAGTAAATATTATTAATTTAAGTTATTAATTTATTTATTGTTATTTTTAATTGAAATGTTTAAAGTATTCAGGATCAATATTAATAAAATTGTAATATATAAACAATTATTTTAAATATTATAAATTTTACGTGAATACTATTTACTATTATCTACTTAAATATCATTAAGATTTAAAATAAATTGTTTGTAATATTAATTTAAAATTATTATAGTTATATTATAAATATCTATTATATAAAGTTAGTATAAAAACAATTTCTACTATAAAATACAAACTTAAATAAATAACTAAAAAAAAGTTTTTTGTTACTAAAATAAAAATTCTATAAAAACTAAAAAACTTATTTTCATGAAACTATTATTATAATAGTAAAAAATAGCATTGCAATAATATCTAAAAACTTATTTAATATTTTTTGATAATTTATAAAAAATTAATATTTTGTTTAAATTGAAATTAATTGATGTTATTTTTTAAACAATACTATTAGCCGTAATAATACTGTATTATTTGTAAATATTAGTTTATATAGCAATTTAGACAAATAATTTTTAAAGTAAAAACATATTATTAATTAACAACTTAACAAATATTATGGCACTAAAATATCTATTGAATTGTATTTTTTTTTATTTTTATTTATAAAGTGATATTTGTTGACTGAAATAGGAAAACAATTTTTTTTGTAATTATTTTTACAAAAATATTACTGTTTAAAAAACTATTATGACTATTATTGTAATATTATATACTAGCAATAAATTAATAATATAAAACACGACTATTATTTTACTAATAAAATATTATTTAACTAAAAAAAATTAATGATATTTTATTATAGCCAATAGCCAAATCAACACCAATAGCCAAATTAACACCGATTGCCAAATCAACACCGATAGCCAAATCACCACCAATACTCAAATCAACACTGACAGTCAAGTCAGCACGAATAGCCAAATCAACACCAATAGCCAAATTAACACCGATTGCCAAATCAACACCGATAGCCAAATCACCACCAATACTCAAATCAACACTGACAGTCAAGTCAGCACGAATAGCCAAATTAACACCGATTGCCAAATCAACACCGATAGTCAAATCAACACCGATAGCCAAATCAACACTGACAGTCAAGTCAGCACGAATAGCCAAATCAACACCAATAGCCAAATTAACACCGATTGCCAAATCAACACCGATAGTCAAATCAACACCAATACTCAAATCAACACTGACAGTCAAGTCAGCACGAATAGCCAAATCAACACCAATAGCCAAATTAACACCGATTGCCAAATCAACACCGATAGCCAAATCACCACCAATACTCAAATCAACACTGACAGTCAAGTCAGCACGAATAGCCAAATTAACACCGATTGCCAAATCAACACCGATAGTCAAATCAACACCGATAGCCAAATCAACACTGACAGTCAAGTCAGCACGAATAGCCAAATCAACACCAATAGCCAAATTAACACCGATTGCCAAATCAACACCGATAGTCAAATCAACACCAATACTCAAATCAACACTGACAGTCAAGTCAGCACGAATAGCCAAATCAACACCAATAGCCAAATTAACAGCGATTGCCAAATCAACACCGATAGCCAAATCACCACCAATACTCAAATCAACACTGAGAGTCAAGTCAGCACGAATAGCCAAATCAAGACCAATAGCCAAATTAACACCGATTGCCAAATCAACACCGATAGTCAAATCAACACCGATAGCCAAATCAACACTGACAGTCAAGTCAGCACGAATAGCCAAATCAAGACCAATAGCCAAATTAACACCGATTGCCAAATCAACACCGATAGTCAAATCAACACCGATAGCCAAATCAACACTGACAGTCAAGTCAGCACGAATAGCCAAATCAACACCAATAGCCAAATTAACACCGATTGCCAAATCAACACCGATAGCCAAATCACCACCAATACTCAAATCAACACTGACAGTCAAGTCAGCACGAATAGCCAAATCAACACCAATAGCCAAATTAACACCGATTGCCAAATCAACACCGATAGCCAAATCACCACCAATACTCAAATCAACACTGACAGTCAAGTCAGCACGAATAGCCAAATCAACACCAATAGCCAAATTAACACCGATTGCCAAATCAACACCGATAGCCAAATCACCACCAATACTCAAATCAACACTGACAGTCAAGTCAGCACGAATAGCCAAATCAAGACCAATAGCCAAATTAACACCGATTGCCAAATCAACACCGATAGTCAAATCAACACCGATAGCCAAATCAACACTGACAGTCAAGTCAGCACGAATAGCCAAATCAAGACCAATAGCCAAATTAACACCGATTGCCAAATCAACACCGATAGTCAAATCAACACCGATAGCCAAATCAACACTGACAGTCAAGTCAGCACGAATAGCCAAATCAACACCAATAGCCAAATTAACACCGATTGCCAAATCAACACCGATAGTCAAATCAACACCGATAGCCAAATCAACACTGACAGTCAAGTCAGCACGAATAGCCAAATCAACACCAATAGCCAAATTAACACCGATTGCCAAATCAACACCGATAGCCAAATCACCACCAATACTCAAATCAACACTGACAGTCAAGTCAGCACGAATAGCCAAATCAACACCAATAGCCAAATTAACACCGATTGCCAAATCAACACCGATAGCCAAATCAACACCGATAGCCAAATCAAGACCAATAGCCAAATTAACACCGATTGCCAAATCAACACCGATAGTCAAATCAACACCAATAGCCAAATTAACACCGATTGCCAAATCAACACCGATAACCAAATCAACACCGATAGCCAAATCAAGACCAATAGCCAAATTAACACCGATTGCCAAATCAACACCGATAGTCAAATCAAGACCAATAGCCAAATTAACACCGATTGCCAAATCAACACCGATAACCAAATCAACACCAATAGCCAAATTAACACCGATAGCCAAATCAAAACCAATAGCCAATCACATCAATAGCCAAATCAACACCAATATTCAAATCAACCCGGTTAGCCAAATCAAACTTGCCAATCATATCAGCCAAAAAATATATATTAAGCTCAATATGGCCATAAGCAACCGTAAGCAGCCGTAAGCAGCCATAGGCAGCATTTTACTTATTGCCCAAAAAATTTATTCAATTTAATATAAGTTTATTTTAATATATTAATTGTATATTACTTTGAAATTTTTAGTATAGAAAGAGGAGTGATTTAATAAACATTTCTTAATATAAATCACTATGTCTAAGAAAATATGAATTATTCAAAATTTTTAACATTTTTAAAATATTTTATCTGTATAACGGGATGTTTGTATCAAATGTATCGCTTAGGATCTGTCTATTATCGGTCAGAAACAGCTACTAACATTAACTATGAGTTTAACGATAGGAGAATATTGCCGGCGCTAACCGTTTGTTGGGATAAATTGAAATTATTGGCTAATGATTCTGGATTTCATAAACTAAACGATAAGTCGAATATTTCGGAGCAATTGAATCAACTTAGTTATAGAGATCAATTGGATTCGCTAATTAACGTAACTAATTTGATTAACTGTCATCATTATGTTTATTCAAATCAAGATATTGATATGAATCACTGCTCAAATATGTCGTCATATAAGTTGTCAATGGATTCGACTAAAGTTTGTCTTACAATGTTTGCTCAATGGAAAAACGAATCGGATGATCGATATACAAGTATTAATCTACAAGAAAATCTTATTGGTTTTGATAAAGATTTGTTGATTATGAATGTTAATACGTTGAACAACACAGAATTGGATATTCATTTACACAATCGTAGACAAGTGCCGTACGATTTGTCCACATTAACTAAACAGTTAGCATTTTACGCACATAATTACACGTACACTATTCAGATATTTCATAAGGTTATTACCTACGATTTGGCAATCCAAAATGACGGTCGATGTCAATGGCAAACGTATAATGAATGTCATAGAGAATGTATTATACGTAAAATGACGACCAGAGATAACAGATATCCGGAATCATTTTTATTTCCATACGATCTATTCAATTCTACTTTGAAAATGGATTCTGGTTTTCTAGTTGACGATTTAGTCTATTGTCGAAATATTTGCCCGAAAATGAATCTCTGTTTTCAAAATACTATCCAAACTATCAGCACAAAAGATTTTATAAATTCAGGACAAAATTCAATAATAAAATTACAGTATACCGACAGTCCAGACATCGTTTACACTATATCTTATCGGATGACATTCGAAGAATTTATTTGCTTATTTGTCGGACTATTGAGCACTTGGTTTGGATTCTCTGTTTTAATTTTTCCAAATTTAATGAAACAATTTGGTGAGATATTAATGAAATATTTTAAATTAATTTACAATGCACTTAATACACGTAAAACCAAACCAGAACCAAAAATCAATGTCAAAGTTATTAATACGCAAAATACATTTCTTCCTAACCAAACCAACGTCTAAAGTTAAGTATAGACCTAAATTTTTTTTAAAGAGAAAAATTAATAATAGTGCTAAAACTATTAATACTGTTATTTGAACTTTTTTAGATAGCTATTATAATTACTAGTTACAGTAAATAAAAATTAATTAAATCATATTTTTAAACTTATAACATGCAATCTTAAACACTAATTAAAAAAACTAATTATTAATAGTTTCAATATTTTTATATTACAACATGTTATTATATTAATATATATCAGCAGCCATTAAACATTAATTTTATTTTTTTTTGTAAAATAATTGTAAATTGTAATTGAAAATTAACAAACAATGGTTATAACTAAATTAAATAAACTAGTTTTATTATCAATTATTATTATTGTAATAATCATAGAGATTAATGCAAAGGATCCAGATAAAAAACGTAATTATATGATAAATATAATTATTATTTTAATTATTAACTATAATATTAATTATTACTTTTTTTTAAAAAAAAATTTAATCTTAGCATGTCCAAAAGGACAAAATTTAAATGATAAATGTGAACTACCTATAGGTTGTTGTGTTGGTAAATGTAAGGCAAAGTTTACTAAAACTTCAAGCAATCAAACTAAATCTCATGGATTAATATGTCAACTTGTTGAAAAAATTAAAAAAAATTAAAAAAAATCATTAATTTAATCAATTTTTTTTTAAATATACAGTACATGTATTAATTTATTTAACTTTTATAATAATTAATATATTTTTATTATTTAGTTTTTTAAAATTTCAGTACAATATAATATAATTTTTTTAAAATTATGTTTCAAATTTTTTTAAATTTTTCAATTGTAAAAATAAAATAAAATAAGTTATACTTTGCGTTGTATTATTAATAATTGTTGTTTACAAAGCCTAATAAAATATTGAATAAATTTATTTAAAATTATAAATATAATGTATTTTTTATAATATCAATTAAACGACACTTATTTCCGTATAGTCAGCAAATAATTATATATCAATATATATATAAAGTTAAATATATTTATATTATTATATATTTTGCTTTTCATTATTAATGATTATTAATTAAGAAAATATTATTTTAAAAAATTTAAAAACTTTTTTAGTTTTAATTATTTTATTATTTTCTACTGTACAATGATAAGGCAATTAATGATAATTATAGTGATATATATATATATACTATAAACTATTTATTTAATATTTTATTTAATATTTTAATAAACTTTATACAATACAAAACATAATAAGCATCTAAATTAATGAAAAAAATTATTTATAATAAATTAAAAAATTTTTAAAAAAAATATAAATGTTTACTAATGTATTAATGTTGTTAATTAAACAGTATATTTTTTTAGTTATGAGTTTAAAATTTAAGTTTATTAAAAAAATTATATAATAATAATATATTTAGTATAAAATAATAATATATTATAGATATATATCAATACAGTATTTATTATTATTATTATTATTTCAATACTATTTGTAAATTTTATTACAAAATAAAAAAAAAATCATTACCAGTAGTACAGTCTGTTACATAATATTCAGTACAATAATAATACAGTAATTATTTTATATATACATTATATATATACCTTTATATTTATATAATATATTTATCTATTAATTTGCTAACTAATAAATTAAAACTAAAACAAGTCTACTATTTTAAACTAAAATATTATTTTATGTCAGATAATACTATTTATTTACAAATGTTTTTTTTTTGTCTTTTAATAATAAAAACAATTGAATTATTATCTAAATAAATAAATATGACAATTAATTTATTATTAATTTAGTTTTATTAGCTAATTAACTAATTAAGTATTATTATTATTATTATTATATTTGAAATAGATTTATTGATAACTAATACAGTTATATGAATTAAATTTATTAATATATTTGAAATTATAAATAAACATAAAATTAATATAAATATTTAAAATTTAAGTGTTTTTTACAAATTATTAAATAAGACAATCAATTAGTATTTAATGATATTTTCATAATGATGATATATCACTATTATATTAAAATTTATTTATATATAAATAGTATTTATTAAATATATTTATTACAGTAACAATATATTAATATAAGTTAATTAGGAAACATATAATACTATTTAATATACCTGTACTTTAAATAGTATTTAATAGATTATGAACTTGACATTCAAAATATATTAATATATTTAAATATATATATATAAATAAAACAAAAATAATATTAATATAAAATATAATTATCATTTTATTTTTTTATAACTATTAACTGATTTAATATACTTGTAGTTTACAAAACAGATATTAATGATAAAAAATAATATATTTTTAAGGAGACTATTAAATGATTCACTTATTAAATATATAATAATAGTATATTATATTTAAACTAAATTTATATCTAGGTTAATTATTATGCTATCGAATATATAATTAATAAAATGTTTATATTGTTTGTATATATTTATTTGTATATATATATATATAAATTTATATAAATAAAATTATATATAATAAATCTATTAATTAGATAATCAATAAATAAAAACTACAATAAGTCTAGTATTTTAAACTAAAAGATTGTTTTTAATGTATAATCAAATAATACAATTGATTTACAAATGTTTGTTTTTTTGTGTTATAATTATAAAATCAATTATTATTTAAATAACTAAATATGACAATTAGTTTATTAATTTAGTTTCATTAGCTAATTAATTATTATTATTATTATATTTGAAATAGATTTATTGATAACAATAGTAAAGTTATATGAATTAAATATTTCTTGTTAATAAATTTAGTAATATATTTCAAACTATAAGTAAAAAAAATTAATATAAATATAATAATGAAATAAAAATGTTTTTTTTGGTGCAGATTTTACTTACTAACAAACAAAAAATATAGTTATAAATAATATAATATTTTATATTTATATTACAATCTTAAGCATTAAAAGCAAATAAATATTTTATAATATTATTTAATTTATTATTATTTTGAACTATTGTTAAAGTTATCGTTAACTTATTGCCAATAAACTGTGTCAATCACTATTTTGTAAATAATTTCATTGTAATAATGATATCATTGTATTTTTTTATTAGAAGTTAAGTATTTGAAGCACTTTAACATTACTTTTTTATTATTATTATTATAATAAACACTTATATACTTATGATATGATTAGTTTACTAAAACTCCTGAACAGAGTTGGTATCTGAATTCTATATGTCTGTCTGTCTGTCTGTCTGTCTGTCTGTCTGTCTGTCTGTCTGTCTGTCTGTTTGTTTGTTAATTGTATGGTCTGGCCATTGATGAACAATGGTAGCCATATAGACGGCCATTGGCTCAAGGTAATTTTTTATAAATATATTTATATACTTTATTAGGCTTCCGTACAAAATATATATATATAATAGGATGTTATACTCAGTTATACGCTGTCATTGGCGACAATTCATGTATGGCCGTTGTAATAATAATTAGGCATGGTTCACATATTACGTTCGCACTTGTGCGGTGGGGGATGTTAGCCAAAGCGAACTTCTACGAATGAGGGGGTGGGTAGACTACATAGGAGAGGGAAGGATCTAGATTTTTTAAAAAGTGCGAACGTAGTATGTGAACAGCCCCTGGCGTAGTTCACATATAACGTTCGCTCTTGAGGGAAAAGGAGGAGGGTCAAATTAAAAAAATTGAGATTTTAAAAAATATTAATATATTTATTATTAAATATTTAAATATTTTCATATCTCATTTTAGATTTTTATCCATTTTTTATACACTTAAGTAAAACTAATATTACTAAAAATTAATTAATAACATAAAGATGTTTTTTGCAATTAAATTAATTAAATAGTTTTTTTTAATAATTAATTTAGCAAAAAAAAAGTAGCATAAGCACTGTATAACGTTGTGTAAAATAATCAAATTAATAGCTAACTATTGAATAAAATTAATATAGTTTCAAAAAACTTGTTATAATAATAATACTACTACAAAAATGATTGGACATCAACAATCAACTAATGAGCATGGTGGTTTTGTTAGTATGATGAACATTGTCATAGTACTAACTGTATTAATAATACAAATTACAATCGATTTTAATGATCCTAGATTTAGTCGATCTGGTGCAGGTAATTAATAAATATAATATATATATATATATATATATATATATATAGTATTATTATTACTGTATATTTAATTGTAATTATAATAGTGTTTATATATATAGATTATTTATGGAATAAATTTATAGATACCATAAATGATAAAATAAATTAACATTTTTGAATTAAATTTTAACATAATTAAAAAATATATTATTATTATTCTATATTATTATTTATATATATATTTTTTAAAATTTTTGTTTCTATTGTCTGTTTGTTAATAATTAGGTTGTGAACCTAATTGTGACTAATCGGGCGAAAAAAAATGCAATTTATTTAATTGGGAAAAAGTAAAAGCAAAAAAAAGCAGCAGTAAATAAACTAATTTATTAAAAATTAAAAATTATTTATTAAAAAAAACTAATGGAAAATAAATAGTTTTTTTATCTAGTTATTAATTTCTAAAAATTAAATTTAAATAACTTATCCTAAAAATTATTATTTGTAAATTAAAAAAAAATATTTTATTAATAAAATTGCTTTTTTAAACAAATATTTCATGATGTTGTTTAATTTAATTATATAAATAAATGTTTTTTAATATCTAATTTTAACATAATGAGCTAATACTAGGCGGCCATTTATTGAAAAAAATACTAATATATAAATTTTTTTTAATTATTTCATATCCATTTTTATAACATTTTTTTAATAATTTAATTTTGCAAAAAAATAACATAAAGTAGTTAGGAGTAAAAAATAACATTTAAAAAAATTATTTAATGGTTTATTAGTTAGAAAATTTAGTTTTAATAAAAATATTAATATATTTATTATTTAATTATTTTCATATCTCATTTTATAGATTTTCATCCATTTTTATCCAATTAAATAAAACTAATATTATTAAAAAATTAATTAAAAAAATACAGATTTTTTTACAATTAAATTAATTAAATGGAGTTTTTTAAAATTTAATTTAGCAAAAAAATAGCATAAATACTATATAAATTTTTGTAAAATAAATTAATTGATAGTTAACTATTGAACTAATATAATAAAATTAATATAGTTTCAAAAAACTTATTGTTATAATAATAATAATACTACTACAAAAATGATTGGACAACAATCAACTAATGAGCATGGTGGTTTTGTTAGTATGATGACCATTGTCATTGTACTAACTGTATTAATAATACAAGTTGCAGATTGGGTTAATCCTAATTTTAGTGGTGCAGGTAATTAATAAATACAATATATATAAATATATAGTATTATTATTATTGTAAATTTAACTCTAATTATAATAGTTTATATATTTATAAGATAATGATTAAATAAATTATTTTTAAATTAAATTTAAAATTGTTGAAAAAACTATTAAAATATATAATAATTTTAAATTTATTGTTTATGTTAATAATTAGGATGTGAACATGATTGCTAATTGACTTATCTGGGAAAAAGTAAATGAAAAAAACCAACACTAAAAAAATCTTAACTCAAAATTATTAAAAAAAAAGTAAACTAATGGCAAATGAAACAAATAATTTTTTGTTATCTAATAATTAATTTTCTAAATTTCTAAAAATTAAATTTAAATAACTTATTTTAAAAATTATTATTTATAAAATAATGACATTTTATTAATAAAATTGGTTTAAAAAAAATTATTTTGTTGTTTAATTCAATTATAAAAATAAATGATTTTTATATCTAAATTTTAACTTGATGTGATAATACATTTATACTTTATACTAAATATATTCTACTGTATATATTAATGATATACTGTCAATAATCTATTAATATACTGTATAATACCCTACATGACTAAAGTTGATTTTATTTTGTAGTATTTAATCATGGGATAGACTACTTACTATTACTAAAGTTAAAAGTTTATTTTTTCAAACATTGATCTGATTTTATAAAGTTACAATTTAATATTTAATTTGTATATGGATTTAGTATGGAAATGCTTTCTAGCATTCTCAACTGGTTGTTAGCAATTAATAGCAAATTAATTTGATAAATATTGTTTTTTTTTTTTGATTGATATTGTTACTAGTATATATATATACAGTATAATTAAAAAAAACGATTTTAATTATCTTTGTTTTTTCCTTAAAAATAATAATGTTTAAAAAAAATTAACCCTGATAATATGTTCTATTCCTTAAATAACAAATTTTTTTACAATTAAAAAAATAATTACTAATATACTATATATCAATAATAGTGTTCATAATTATAGTATAAACAATATATTTTTTAACAAAGCTGTTTAAAATTAATTAATTTAAACTAATAGTATATTTCATGTATTTTTTAGTTAAAAGTGTTATAATTTAATTATTATCAAAAAAATAACTGTTAAAAATATTATATATATTGCTTATACATTGATTATATTATTGCATTTAGACATTACAATAGGTAATTATTGTATTGTTGTATTTAATCTAATATTTAAGTACAATAAGGTTATAATAAGTTTTTTTTTGAAATAATTTGCACTTAAACTTATGATATGATATTTTGTTTATTAATAATTTTTTCATATATATATATATATATAATAGCAATAACAATATATTTGTTGTACACTAGTTGTTGAACATAAATATTATTTTACTATAATAATAATTTATTTTTTAAAAAAATGTCTAATAAATTTAATTTATTGATTTTAATTATATCCATTAACTTATTTAATTGTTTTTATTTGCTAAATACATTAGCAATTAATATTAATAATGATTATAATAATGTAATGTATATTAATTTATATAAATTTTTTATTTATAAATTATTAATTTATATTTAATTTTTTTTGTTAGCAAACAATTGATGACTTATCGGGCGATAGTTTTATCTATATATGCGGCGGATATGATGGGACAACACGTTTGACTGTATGTTATAAATATGATAAGCAAACAAATGTTTGGCAACCAATACAATCCATGTCCACTAAACGCCAAGTGTTTAGTTTGATTTCAATTGATTCAAAATTGTATGCAATCGGCGGTTGGGATGTATGTATCAGCAAAAAAAATATAATTAAAAATATATAATTTTATTAAAAATATTAATAACTATTATTAAAATTATTAATAACTAGTATTAATTAATTATCAACAAAAAATAACTGTTAAAAATATTATAAATATATATATATTTTGCTTATACATTGATTATATTATTGCATTTAGACATTACAATAGGTAATCATTGTATTGTTGTATTTAATCTGATATTTAAGTACAATAAGGTTATAATAAGTTTTTTTTGAAATAATTTGCACTTAAACTTATGATATGATATTTTTTTATTAATAATTTTTTTCATATATATATATATAATAGCAATAATAATATATTTGTTGTACACTATATGTACAGTATAAAAATATTAATAACTATTATTGTATTTTTTTAATATATATATCAAAAAATAGGGTAATTATTTGAATAGTGTTGAAACATACGATACGCAAACAAATCAATGGAAACCAATAGCATCGATGAATCAATTACGCGGGTATTTGTTTAAAATTGATTAATTATTTTGAAATAAATTATATTTTTAAAATAAATTATTATAAATTATTTAATTTTTATTGTTTTTGAAATTTTTTTTTAAAAAGTTACAATGATGCAACTGTAATAGATAATACAATTTATATATGTGGTGGTCGAAATAGTAAGTTTATATATATTTTTTAATAATAAAATATTTTTAACTGTTTTTATTTTTTATTTAATTTACTAATTAATAAATTTCATATAACCTTATTATTAGTATTTGGAAATAAAAAAATATATATATATTTAACTTACTATATGTTACTATCAAATAATCTATTAATCAATTAATAATTTTTTTATATATATTAATTATTAGACAATATTTCCAAATCATGTGAATATTATTTACCAAATACTGATGAATGGTCTTTTACGACACCAATGATTGAGGAAAGGTATGGTCTGGCACTGGTATCACACGATGGGCTTATGTATGCTATCGGCGGTAAAAGTGGTAATGAAATTGTAGATACAATGGAAAGATTGGATACAACTACACAACAATGGCAACCAATGAAACATATGAGATATCCAAGGTTTGTTTTATTTAGTATTATATATATAATTATTGCTTAAAAATTATTTATTGTACTAGTAGTTTAAGTTGAAAAATTATTAAATTTAAGTTGATTAGAAATTTATTAAATCTAAGTTGAATAAAAAATAATTAAATCTAATTTGAATAAAAAATTAATAAATATAAGTTGAATAGAAATTAATTAAATCTAATTTAAATAATAATTTTATAATTAAACTTTTATTTGAAAAAAATTATTCAGTATATTGTTTTGTATTTTTTAATAATTAATAACTAATAATATTTATTACTATGTTGATTATAATTAATGTAATATATAGAAAATTTTTTAGCTTAATATATAATTTATATTTATTTATTTTTTTAAATCAATAAAATTATAGATATTTATTTGGTTCAGCATCATTTATGGGTAAAATATATGTTTGCGGGGGTGTAGGTTATAATGATTGGAAATCATGCGAAACATATGATCCCAAAACAAATAAATGGACAGTAATTGGTTGGTTGTTGTTAATTATTAAAATAATTTTTATTATTTTTTTTTTCTTGGATTAATATCTATTATTTATATACTAATTATTTATTTATTTATTTATTTATTTGAATCAATAGCACCAATGCTTTCAACTAGATATCAATTTAAATTGATTGCATTCAATGATAAATTATATGCATTGGGTGGCTATACAAATGGTATAATTTTAATTTATTTACTTTTATTTTAGCTAAAACTAAAATTGCTATAAAATTGTATTGTATTTTTAGTAACTTTTTAAGTATAATACTAAATAATTTAAAATTTAATAATAAGTTAAATATATATATTATAATGCATAACAATTGAGTATATTTTATTTATTATATAATATAATTTTTAATACATTTAATAATACCAAAAAAAACTATAAAATATATTATTATTTATTTTTTATGTTTATATGATTTATATCTAATCTATAATTTTTTGTATTATTATTTATTATATAGTTATTGACGGTGTAATAGATACGGTTGAAACATATGATTATAAATTAAATCAATGGTCGTATACAACATCATTGCCATTAAAAATGGCTGGATTTGGGGTAAAATTATTTTTTAATAATTTAAAAAAATATTAATTACAGTAATTTTTTATTTTTAGGCAACTGTTATATAAAAATTATTAAATTAAACAAAATTTTTTATAACTATTCATAGTTTGATAAAAATTAAATAAAAATAATAAATTATTTGTTTTTGTGTTTTGTTTTTATAAATAATATTTATAAATCACTTATAGTTATTAATTAGTTTAAATAGTTAATAAATTAGATTAGATTCAAATAATTATAATATTATAATAACAACTATTGTAATATCAATTAAATTTTTTTTGTTTTCATTTTGTTTGTTTTCAATTTGAATAATTAAAATAAATTATATTAATAAATATATATTTTTCAAGTAGAAAATAGCTATTTTAACTAGTGATACATTTTAATTAAATTTTTTTTTTAATTTATAATAATAATCATAAAAATAATAATTAAAGCGATCCGTAAGTATCAGCAAATGTATGCAAACAATAGGCCGATAACAAGTCGTCGCCGAACCGATGGATCGATGAAATATTTCGGTATTTTTTTAATTGTTGATTATTGTTGTTGTTGTTGTTCTCTTCAAAAATGTTTGTAAAACTATTAAATAAAATATTTTAGAAAAATAATTTTAAAAATATATTTAGTAATATTTTTGAAAAATAAATTAAATAAATATATTAAGTAATATTTTTTTTTAAAAAAAATACATACTTATTAAATTATTTTGATAATGATCTAGGTGCTCTTGGTAGTCTTGTGGTACGGGTAAAAAATTTTGCATTATCACGTTTTTCATTAATTACGAATATAGGTCCAATTAGTTTAATTGATAATTTTATAATATTACTTTTAAATTTATTTGTATATACTATATTTTGATGTTTATTTATATATTTAACATATAAATTTATTATACTATTGGCGCATAGTAAAAATGAGGCACCTAAATATAAACTAATTAAACTAGCTAGTTGGCAAAAAAAGTCCTCAAATGTATACTTATATAATGACACAAATATTGTTTCCGGTTCATTAGTATAATATAAATATAAATTAGTATTATTTGATTGAGATTTTTCATGAAAATTTGTAACAGAATAATGATAATCTATATAATCTATAATTTTTGAGCATTTATGGTCACAATAAAATTCAATAGTTTTATAATAGAAAATATTTGAAAATTTATTTACATCATAGCCGTCACTTGTAGTTAAATTGTTCCACAATATAAATGGTGGATAATTATTAAATTGTTGATAATATTTTTCAACAAAACATTTATTATAACATGATTGTTTTGTTGAATGTGATCCAAAATCATTTATAACGGTTTTACGTTTAATAACTAAATGATTTTCATTATATTTGTTTATTTCAAGATAAAATATTTTGACACTATGTTTACGTAGATATTTGTCTTTAGGATTAAAAAAATATAGAGATAATAAATTGCCTAGATTATCTTTATTAATTGAAATATTAATGCTTAAAAAATATAGTGGGAAATTATTTTTTTGAACATAATTATTAATATTTTCCCATTGAGTCATAAATATGGCACAAAAATCATTATAATCTATTGTATATTTAATTGAACTAATATTTTGACATTTTTTTATAAATGTTACCATTTTTATCATATAAACTACAATCTATTGAATTTTTATAGTTAATAAACGAATTCATTTGTTGTTCAAATGTTAAATTATTAAATTTTTTATAATTGAATTTATCGGATTTATTAGTAAAATATTTAAATTGTTGATCACTTTTAATAAGATAATGTTTAGGTAAACATAAAACAATTGATGGTAAAACAATTTTTGTTGTTATTTCATATTTAACTATTGAATTAAGTGTGTATGAAAAATAGGAAATACTTAACTTTAAACTTTGATAAATTAAACTAAAAAATAATATACTATAAAATATTAAATGTAAACAATTTAATTTCATTGTTATTATTTAAAAAAAATAATAATTTAAAATTGTTTTTTTTAATTTAAAATATATTGACTATTCTCATTAAAATAATAAAAAACATTTTTTATTTATTATATTATCTAATAGTATTTAGTAGTAGTTAAATATTTATTAATTTTATATTTCAAAACATTTTTTATGATAATAAACTATTTCATCTCTATCTAGTCTATCACCATGCTCAATACATTGTACATGACTTGGACAGCATCTGGTCTCTATACCATGACCTATACTTTTGCAATAATGTAGACCAGATTTACATTTATTATTATGACCATGGACAACTATAGATATTGTAAAAAATATATATAAAAAATTTTTTTTAATAAATAATAAAATAATCACAATTATTAGTAATTATAGTTTTTTTTTGTTAAAATACTATCTAATTATAGACACTGTATATATATATTGTGGTGTGTTGCCGTCTTTTCTGTCCCGCTTTAAGTCCCGAGACCTTAGTCGACACACACAACCCGAGATCTGTCCGACCGTAGATCTCGCCGAAGACCGTCCGATAATAGCCTTCGCTGAGGACCAACTTCGATTAGTCCTCAACAATATCACAGTCGACACAATGAAGTAATCCGTAATAATGGTACACACAGTATAATAGTTAAATGAATTGTTTATTTGATAATAATAAAATATAAGTATACAATAGTAAAATAAAGTTCATAACAATATACAATACATAACTGCACTGCCCGGAACTGCTGACCAATGCTTTGCAAGTCGATGCAAAGCAAAGGCAGTCCAGTCCAGGCAGAGCCTAAGCTCACTGTTAAGAGTTAACTGTTCGAAGCTCTAACTCTATAGCCCATTGTATTGAGCAGACTAGTCGAAGTCTCAGCTCAACACTTGAGTGACTTTACAATGAGAACTACATCAGTATTTATATGCTTTTGAATCAATAGGTCTTATTGTTTGCAGACGACACCAATGAGTGTCGTGTGCACACAAGCCTTACTATACAATATATAAGTTCCCCTCACTTAGACATTACTAAATAAATTCCCATTAATAACAAAGATATTATATTTACTAATTAATGTTCCCACTAATATTCCCTAATATTTCCGTTTAGTATTTAACCCTAATTATAATAGACTACTATTTTTAGACGGGATAATTCCCGGGTTTACTCTGGTAATTATCCCTTAATTTTATAACCTTAACTTTTAAATCCCGGAACTCCTGGTTTGTCCCGTTGGGACTAAAAACAGGAATCCCGTATACAACTCTATTGTATGTGGTGTCGGTACTCATCGATAGATGGCAGTACCGGCGCCACAATACATCTACATCTTTACATGACAATATTAATTATACAATAATAATAATAATAATAATAATAATAATAATAATAATAATAATAATAATAATAATAATAATAATAATAATAATAATAATAATAATAATAATAATAATAATAATAATAATAATAATAATAATAAATAATATTTATAATTTAGTATTACAATGTATTAATAATAATAATCAGTATTAATAATAATAATAATAATAATAATAATAATAATAATAATAATAATAATAATAATAATAATAATAATAATAATAATAATAATAATAATAATTTAAATTTAGTAACAATGTATTATAGTATTCAGTATTATGCAGTATATGACACACTACTTATTATTTGAAAACAAAAGTATTATTAATATACTAATAACAACAGTATTATATGTGGCAACTCTACTTAGTATTACTACAACAATATTAATTATATTCAGTATTAAAACAATAGTATTAAAACAATAGTATTAATATACAATTTGTATTATTTAGTTATTATTTATAATGTATATAAAATATATTTTTTAAAATGTATTTTAAAGCCGTTAAAAAGCCTATACAGTATTAATAACATTTAAGTGCAAATACTTTATCAGTATTTTAATAAGTTTTAATTATTTGCATATTTAGCAAAAATATATCAGTAAATAGTATTACTGATATAAGGCAATATCATAATTATATTTAATAAAAATCGTATTGTTTTTTATCTAAAAATATAATTTTATTTTTTAATATAAAATAATATTTTCCTATTTTATCTAAAAGTTAAGCAAGGATTTAGATTTTTTTTTTAATTAGAGTAGGGGTCTACAAAAGGTTACAACTATATACTAAATTAATTCAATTAAATAAACATATATTTTATATTATTATATAAATTTCTAATTAAAAAAAATATATTAGAAATTAATATTTATATTAATAAAAATAAGCTTACTAATTAGAGTTGTCAATAGTAGTACAGCAAACATTAACATCAATTTAAGCATTTTTTTTATTTTTTATAATAGTATATAACTATAATATGTTATATTATAAAATAATCTTTTAATTTTAATAATAATAGCTTTTACACTTGCTTTATATACATAAGTTTAGCTTAATAATTTTCTAATAATAGATAACTATGGGCTATTTATTAGTTTATTGTACTTAATTAGGTAATTAATATATTTTTTAATAAATTATCTATTATTAAGGTTATTTAACTTAATAATTTATTATCAAATTTTATTATTAGTATATATATGCATATAATTAATGTATTAAATGTCAATAGAAAAATTTGCTTATGTAATTATAATAAAAAAAATATTAATAAATTAAATTAGTATCAATGTACAAATAATAGATTTTATGTTTTTTATATCTAAATTATTAATTACTTATTTTTTGAAACATTAACATTTAATAAAAATTATATATTAGTTTTATTTTACTTTATTTATAGATATTATTTAATAATTTTAATGTTTTATAGTAAAAGTTTAATAATTTAAAATTAATATATATTTTAGTAATATTTTTTTTAAAAAATCTATATCACATTTTAGAAATTAATAATTAAAAACTAAAATAATTATAATAAATAATTTATAAAATAAATATCAATATATTTTGCTTATGTAAGCTAAATAAAAATATTTAACTAATATTTATTAGTTTTTATATTTTATATATGTATTTTATTATGTAAAATATTTTTTATTTGTTTGAGGTTAATGTTACTATTAATTATAAAAGTTTATATTAATATTGAAACAAAAAATTTATTATATATTTTACAAGATATTTAATTATTTGTATTGATTAATATACAGTATATTAAATTATTTGTAGATATGTTTATTATTCAATTTTTTTAATTAATATATTATTTAACTTAACTATTATTATTAACTATTAAAATAATTTTTATTTTTAGATTAATATCTATTATTTATAATTTATATACTAATTATTTATTTATTTGTATCAATAGCACCAATGATTTCAACTAGATATCAATTTAAATTGATTGCATTCAATAATAAATTATATGCATTGGGTGGCTATACAAATGGTATAATTTTATTTAATTAATTTTATTTAGCTAAAACTAAAATTGCTATAAAATTGTATTGTATTTTTAGTAACTTTTTAAGTATAATTTTAAATAATTTAAAATTTAATAATAAGTTATACAGTTCACGACAAAAATTTTGATTCAATTGTTAATTTTAATTTTATCGGTAATTCAAGAAAAATTTTATAAAATGATAATTAAATATAAGAAAAAAACTAATAACTAATAATAATAATTTAAAAAATAATATAAATAAAAATTAGATAATCTAATTAAATCTAAATGTCAATATTGTTATAAAATTAATAGTGACAAAAGTATTGATCCGGTAAAGTAAATCGGTAAATAGTGATCAATACTTGGTCGGCCCGCCGCTAGATAAAAGCACAGCTTTCATCCGGGTTGTCATTGATTCGATAAGACTCTGAAGAAGCGGTAATGGGATCTCATTCCAGGCACAAAGTACCGCTTCTTCCAGAAGTCTTACCGAATCAAATTGACGGCCTTCGCGGTAAACCCGACGGGCTAACCATCCCCAAAGGTTTTCAATTGGATTAAGGTCTGGACTTCTTGATGGCCACGGAAGAACATTGACCTCATTATCATCAAACCATTGTTTTGTTGATCCCGATCGGTGGACAGATGCGTTATCTTGCTGAAAGATCCATGGTTCTTCGGCAAGTGATGCTGCAATCGGGATCAAATGGTTGGCTAGGGTTTCTTGATAGGCGATTGAATTGATTCGACCTCTTTGGATAATAAGGTCGGTCTTACCATTAAAACCAAATGCCGCCCAAACCATCACTGACCCACCACCGAATTGGCGCTTCGAAAATATTGGCATATCTTTTGATAAATCATGCCAGTAATATCGAAGACCGTCGGGTCCGTCCAAATTAAATTTCTTTTCGTCAGAAAAGAGGACCCGACGCCAATCGGTAGTCCAGGTCACGTGATCCAACGCAAACCGCTTGCGCTCAGCTTTGTGGCTCTTAGTAAGCGGCGGTTTACTGGCCATCTTTTGCCAATTTAGCAATGGATCGGCCTTCAGTACCCGTTGGACAGTCCGCACGTGACAATCCAACTTCAAGTGATCCACTATACGCGGTGCCGTAAATTTTCTTGCCCGAACTAGCGATGTTATCCGCCGCCGCTTGTATTCGGTAAGCGCTCGCGGCCGCCCAGAACGCGGGGATGTTCCGTAGTGTTCTGGATCCCGAAGATATCGGTTTACAGTTGATGTCGAGCGTCCAATTTCTTCGGCAATTTGACGTCCTGACCAATTAGGGTTTACTTGCCGAAGGATCCTTAACTGTGCTTTTTCTTCGACGGTCAGCTCTGACTTGCGGCCCATTTCACAAAATAAATATTTAATAAACACGTGTTTGAAGTATTAATTATAAAATTGAATTATAAAATGGCGAAAAATATAATTTTGTTTATTTATTAATGAATATACTTACCGATTCAAAACTTTAGTCGCTTATCAAAATATAGGGATTAAAACTTTTATCGTTATATTAGCTTATTTTAATATTAATATTTTTTATTATTTATTATTTATATATTAATTAATCTATTTTATTATTTATAAAGTTTTGAACATTTTTTTTCATATCTTTACCGAAAAATCGGCAAATTAAGGTCGAATCAAAATTTTTGTCGTGAACTGTATATATACAGTATATTATAAGGACTAACAATAGGTATATATTTTAATTATTAAACAATATAATTTTTAACACATTTAATAACAACAAAAATAATATAGAATCTATTATTATTTATTTTTTATGTTTATATGTTTTATATCTAATCTATAATTTTTTTATTATTATTTATTATATACTAGTCCTCGCAAATATTAATGACGTATTTATAACAAAATTTTGATTTCATTTTACGAAAAAGTTAATTTTATTTAATCAATTATATAATCGCCATTCAATTCTATGACTTCTCTCCATTTGTCCGGCAAATCACCAATTCCTTTGGCTAACCACTCTTTTGGTTTTGAGGCGAAAAACTCTTCGACTGCCATTTTGACCTCTTCCCGATTTTCAAATTTTTTGCCATCAAGAAAGTGTTGCATTGATCTAAACAAATAGTAATCCGAGGGAGCAATATCTGGTGAATATGGTGGGTGATCAATGATATCCCATCCAAACTCCTTCAGCAAATCTTTGGTCACTTTTGCG